TTTATTCCTAAGACCACCCAAGCTAAAATATTTTACACTGGCCACTGAAGTAGTTTTAGTACAACAAAATTAAGCAACTAAATGTAGAAGTTGGCATCACTCAAGGATTGCAAAGAGCAATCTCTTCGTTTTACAAAATTTAAAAATTTTGCCTGACCATTTTTGTTTGATAATGCTGACCATTTAAATCACCTTCAACAGCCACCTTATTTGCAGTGACATGGTCACTCCAGTGACTGTCACATGTCCTTGATAGATAGATCTCTTCAGATTGGACAGTAGATGTCTTCTTTACATAGCAAGGCTCTGTCAACTGGGTAGATGCACTTTGCACAGAGTTAATTGTGCTTTCTGCCTGGTATTCTGTGGCCTTGGTGATGGGATGACACCCTGCTTGGACTGCTTCGGCCTGCATGGACTGGCACAGCATCTCTGAATGGTTGGATGGTGCTTGTTTTCGGTGATGGAGGTTGTCACATCTGGCATATGCAGACTGTTGCATGCTGTAATGTTCTCCACATTGGACAGCTTTGGCCTCTTTAGAGTAAAACAAGTCCTTTGTTTGCAGAAATGCAGTCTTCGATAAGTTATCAATCCTTCCTGACTGTACATCTGAGGTTGGTAGGTGCCTTTTTAGCTCCTCTGATTTTTCAGTTGCAGTATACAATAAGTCACCGGGCCCCTCTTGGATACCTTTAGTTAGTAAGCAATCAAGAAGTCTCTCTGACAAGACAGCTGAAGTCTGTATGGGGCTACAAAACTCATCTGATTGGACGAATGCAGTCTGTGAAGATTTGAAACAGTCTTCTGATTGGAAAGTTGCCATATATAAGGAGGTAAAAGGCACCTCTGGTTGGTCAGTTGCAGTATGTGAGGATTTAGAGGGTTCCTCAACAGATTCCATCAACAGATTTGCAGTTTTGGGGAAATTACAATCTGACTTGACTTTTGAAACTTTAGCTGGTTACTTAAATGCTCTAAATGGGCAGCTGAAGTCTGTTCGGTGTCACCTCGCTCTGAGTTGAATGCTGGCATCTGTATTGAACTATGCATCTCCTCTGGTTGCCAGTAAGAGTCTCGATCGTAGATATCCCTGATTCAACAGGTGCATTTTTTTTTAAATTACAGAACTCATCTGTCTGGAAGACGGTATCCAAAGAAAGACCAAGCTTCTTTGATGGGGCCACTGCATGCTGTACATAATGAATACACTCCTCACCTGTATATTCTGTGGGCTTTTCAGTGCGACAGAATGTGTCAGATTGTGTAATTGATGGCTTTATGGAGTTAGAGTTAACTGGAGATTGACAATTGTTTTTTTGTTGAATGTTTGGGAGTTCCTTTTGCTGTTTAGTTGTAATCCAGTTTGTATATTTATGTGTTGACTGAGAAGTTGGTATGTAACCAAAATGTTCTTCATATGTCTTTGGATCTCCTGTCTTGCCACCAGAGATGCCAGTATTACATTTGGCCAATATGCAGTCAATGGCGTCAGGAGAAGCGTCTTCAGTTGACCTCTGTTCTTGGTCAGAAGAGAGCCTTGGCGTTGTCGCTATAAGCATTGTGATGTACACAGAGAAAGGTTTTCAGTGGATTGATGGTCTCAATAATTCTTCTCACAACAGAATTTTACATCAGTGTGGGTTAGCATGAAGTTATGGGATAGTTCATTGCAAAGACAAACAAGAAGATCGACCAGTCTTGGTCTGAGATTGAGCTCCTATGTTTCCCCCTTCATCTGACTCCTAATGCGTTCTACCATCAGTTTGTCCTCTACCACTCCAAAAACCTAAAAAGAACATACGTTTTCTTCATTTTGATAAGAGTTCGTTGTCATTGCAAGAGGAGATGTTTGGGGCAGCAAAATGAATGAGAGGATCTGGTGATGAATAAGATATAAGATGGACTTCAAGACTTGCAAGCTGCTTGTTACAAGCAAAGATGGCTGTTAAAATGAAGAATTATTTGACAAACACAACATTTATGTTAGTATGAAGAGCAGCGATTCAGCTATTAACATCCATATGATGGATTACGAGCCAAGAACTGCAAAAGATTACATGAAATCATAATTCAAAATGACATAAAGCAATTTTCGACAGAAAAAAGTACAGATGCCTTTAATGATTGTGCTAATGGTAAAATGCACCACTACTGTTATATGCATTTATGTGATGGGTTAACATGGATGACTGATGTTGAAATATATCAAATCACCTTTGACATCAAGAGTGTATTGGCCAGATTCATCAGCTATCTCACCAATCTTGTTACCAAAGTGACACTGCTCTGCTGTTTGGACAAAGCCAAAAAGAAAACAATGAGCTAGGTGAAAGCTGCATGTATGAAACTAAATACTTGATTATTAATTGTGCAGGTACAATGTGGAACACCACCTTTCTTGTCTGCAACTAGCTGTGCATCCCCAGATGATTCACAGTCGAACCTCCATCATCAGACATTTCTTGTGACTGAAGAGGCAAAGCTTTGCTGATGCTCTGTAATTCACAGTCAGCTTCCCTTTTTGGGTAGATCTGAGTTCCATCTTTGTACCAGCAGGCTTTGGCAATGGGATCGGAAATCTCAAATTGCTGAACAATTGCGCAGTGAGCTTCAGCAGACTTCTCAACTTCAGGACCAGTCAGATATGTTTGAGGTGGCACTAAGACAATCATTGGAAGCAAAATATGAATGTGCATTACCCTACATTAAAGGAAAACTGACTTAAAAAAAAGATATCGTCACAACTTTCATACATATTAGTTCATCCTTGTAACGAGTAAGAAGACAGACAGAAGCTACATAAATGGTTAGTGATAACTACAATATTAAACACATTTACCAAAAAAATCACCTTGTGTTTTTACTATTAATTGGGCAACATCGTCTGCTGTTGCACAATAGTATGCTCCAGAGTTTGACGGATGAGTCGGTTCGATAACAAGGGTCTTCTTGATGCCTTCCATTTCAAAATCAGGCTCTCTGTTTGAATCATGTTCTTTGTCCCTCTGCTGTGACACCTGGGAAGCAGGTTCTGAGGTTTCACATGTTGATGCAGTTTGGCAGGGTACTTCAAGTGACTGCGTCTCCGCAACCTCTGGCGAGGGCAAGGGCGACAACAGCAACGTTGGAGCTAAAGATGATGATTAATATTATAATTGTAGTCTTGACAGGGCACAATTACAGTCTTATTTTTGGGTCATAGATTTAGCTTTCCCAAACAGGAAACTTTAAGTTTGTATTTGACCAAATTCAGGGAGGAAAACTTTTCTTTTCAAGGATCACACAGAAATATTTCTTTTGTCAGTAGAGATTAATTTGACCATGGTTTAAGAAACAGTTACAACTTCACACAAAACATCACATGAACACAGACAGACGGATATGCATACTCTAAATATTAGTTGCACTAGTCTCTAGGAAGCTCTAGGATTTGCTCTAAGATTCAACAAATTAAAATAAAAATCACCTTTGATATCCACAGTGAAGTGGATAGTGTCATCATAGGTTTGGCAGCTGTATAGCCCTGAGTGCAAAAGCTCAGCAGATGGAATAATGAGTCTCCTCAATGTGCCATTACTCTGTATATCCCAACCATTCTGAGGAAAGAGCTTTACGCCGTCTTTATACCAGCAGACAGGCACAGTGGAGTCTGCAACCTCACATTTCAGCTCCAAAAGCTTGCCCACTTCAAGTGACTGGGTTCTCTCAACATCAAAGGAAGTCGAGTATGTCACTGGTAATGCTAGCATTGGAAATTCAGGAAAACTATATAAAATCATGTCTATGGACAGGAATATGGTACAAAGATAGAAAATGCTGAGCACAATAAGAAAAGGGGTTTGGAGACTTAGAATTCAAGGCACAAAACAAGAAGTTATAAAAAAATATCTGGTGCGTTAAAAGTTCTTAAAGGTTATGCGCATGAAACAGTCCTTCAAACCACGTTCAGTAGAAGCAGGGATTATTAGTTGCATCTATAAAGAGGATGTTGGGTTACTATATTAACGCACAAGATAAAAAGTGTAAAGTCACCTTTGATCTCCACTTGAAACTCCACTGTATCATCCTGTGTGGTGCATCTGTATACACCAGAGTGGGACAGCTCTGCCGACTGAACCACTATTGTCCTGTTGTTGCCCTCTGAGGTGATTTCTATTCCAGAATTTGAAATAAGCTGGCTGTCATCCTTGTACCAGCAAACATGGGCCTCAGGATCCGACAGCACACACTGGAGTACAATAGGGCATCCTGCTTCGATCGACTTGGTCCTCATTTCTTCAGGAATTGCTGAGAACTTCACAGGTGGAGCTATAGATATATTTAGAGCTCATGTCAACCTCAATTCAGCCTCATACCAGCCTTTAAGATTATTCATCATAGTCTATCTACTAGCAACTACATTGCTAACATGCTGTAATGCAATCAAAGAAAATGTTTCAGCTGAGTTACCCTTTTAATGAATGCCAAGAAGGAAGGCAACAGACAACAAACAGGAGTGTCAACAGAGTTAGTTGCTTTGGTCAAGAGAGCTTGTTAATGTTTCAAGTCGCGTAAGGTAAAACAAATCACCTTTGATGTCCACACTGAACATGATGGTGTCACCCTTTGTCTTGCAGCAATATAACCCAGAGTGGAAATATTCTGCTGAATGGACAATCAGTTTTCTTGCCAAGCCTTCAGTTAGAATATCTACTCCAGTTTGAGGATGGAGCTTTGCCCCATCTTTGTACCAGTACACCTGGGCAGAAGGATCTGAGAGCTCACATTGTAAAACAATGGGACAGCCTGCTTGGATGGTTTTGTTCCTTTCAGCATCTGGAATTGCTGAAAACTTCACAGGTGGGGCTATGGATATTTAGATATTTCAATAGATGGTTATGGTGCTCTTTAATAATTCAGACTTTAGAAAGATAACCAATTGTATGTTTGAATGAAAAAGAAGAAGGTGGTTAGTCTCTGGGAAGATATCAGTATAGTAAGAAACTCAAGCCACTCACCCTCTACTTCCACATTGAACCTGATGACATCATCAATGGCATCACAGCAATAAACTCCAGAATGTGAGAATTCTGCTGATTGGATGACAATTCTTCTCATGGTGCCCTCTGATTGGATATGAAGACCCTCTATTGTTTGTAATTCAACCCCATTCTTGTACCAGTTCACTGGAGCTGCAGGGTCTGACAGCTCACAGTAGAGTACAATAGGGTTCCCAACTTCTACAAATTTGTTTCGATCCATTTCTGACATGGGTGAAAACTTGACAAGAGGAGCTGCAAATTTAAGAAAAACAATTTACATACATCTTTTATTTCCTAGCTCTGTCAATGAATGCAAGGACACAGGGTGTTAGTTTCATATTCTATTGATTGTGCCAGATAATTTTTCACATACGTACATTAGCACAGTTAAAACGAAATAAACAAAATCCCAATAAATCTTAAATTAATCTTGACACTTACTCAGTATGAGAACATTTACATTGACGTACATACCTTGAATGTAAAGTGCTGCAGAATCCCGGATGCCATAGGCAATAAAAGTGATCTCAGCTCCATTGTCTGTATCACGTACTCCTCGAATTCGAAGAGACTGGTGAGTTCTTGATCGACGCATTGAACAACGGTCATCCTCCTGGAGCTGAGTACCATTTAAGAACCATGTACCAATAACTGAAGCCGAGAGCTCAATAGAGAAGAGAGCGTCTTGGCCCTCTGGCACCAATGCGTCTTGTAAAGGAGCTTGTATTCTTGCAACTGGGACTGGGAAAAAAAATCCATTTATTAACAAATGTTACATCAACCATGTGGAGGTTTAATGACTTGAGTAAAAACAAGGTTTAATTGATGATGTACTGTTGTGTCTAAAAATTAACCAAACTTACCTAAGTGAACAGCCCTGGGGAACTCAACATTGTTGCTCTTTCCGTATTTGTTTACACTGCAAATACGAAATCGATAATCAGCTTCGCATGGAACGCTGTCACCAAGGATCTCCACAGCTGTTGCAGAGTCAGTAGTCAGGCACTGTAGCCACTCCTGTGAGCCAGTGCCCACTTCCTGTCGCTCAAGCACATATCCAGATGGAGGGTTCTTTCGTGAGTCCTGAGCAGGAACCCATGAGAGCAGAGCTGCATTAGCACGCTCTGTGTTGATTTGCACACCCACCGGACAACTGGGAGGACAGTGTCTTGCAGCTGAAACAGGGAAAACCAGTTTTCCAATAATGCCCTTTTGAACTTGAGTTACTAAAACATGTTAAACAATTTGAAAAATAGTGGATCTTGAATGTATTACCGGTACTTAACAAATGACACCGTACCTTTCACTCTTAGCTGAGAGGAAGTCTTGGATTTGCCTACAAGGAAAGTCACAAGGCCTGAGTCTGGAGGCATTGTGTTGACGAAAACCAGGATGTGAGTGCGACCAAAGGACTTCAGGATGGTCTGATGTGTTTCACGGAGCTCTACACCATCTTTGTACCAATGTATGTCCATTTCTTCTTTTTCAACTTCAACACAAAAAGCAGCATTTTCGCCTTCCAATACATCCACTTTTCTTGGAAGCTTGCGCAAAATTGTCCCTACAAGGAAACACAAGTCAGTGACTCCTCACAATAAAAGGCAAAACTTCAACAGAATTGGCTACTGTCATTTGATTCCCTTTGTTTTCTGAACAGAGACCAATGTTGTCAGGACATCTGTTGTCAGGGCCTTTAGAAAATACTTCAAAAGCGAACACAAAACTCTATTTAGATTTAACATTGCTATGGTAAAGGTTTTGATTAAGTTGGGCAACAACTGTTCTTCATTGGATTTAGGAAACCAGCATTTTATTAAGATAACTTCTTTATTCTATCAAATGAACACCCTCAACATATATCTTTCAATAGCCACAGTGCACTGTAGACATAGTTTCATAAACTAAACATCAACAGTTCAGACTTTGTTTACTGTGCGATTTTTCCAGCATTTGCAGTGCCCAACTGGCTCAGTGGAATTAAGGAAAGTCAGAAGACAGTGTAAAAATATGAGTGAAAGTTTTTAGTCCGAGGCTTTGCAGCCTCTGTGTTCGAAATGGCACAGGAAATTAAGAAAGTTTGGGCATAATAATGTTAACCTGTTTGAATATACTTTTACTTGCGTTATGCTTTCATAGGAGTTTTTTCTTCCATATTTACCTTTCACAGCAACCTCTGCAATGCTTCTGCCCCCATCAGGCATCTCGCAGAGGTAAATCCCGTCATCGTCCACTCCGATGTCACGGATAGTTAATCGCCGTTTTGTTCCCCACTCCTCCATTCCATATTTGGCCCCTGGCTGCAGTCGTCTATCCTCCAGATACCATGTGATGGAAACAGAGTCCTCTGGAACTTCACACTCAAGAATTGCCAAATCTCGTTCCCATACCTCTAGATCAATGAGGGGCTGCTTGAACCGCACAGGCGGCTCTGAAACCAAGGAGGAGGAAAAACACCAGTTTTGATAAGCTAATGGTGCATGACCAGCTACTGAAAATCTAGTTTTCAAGTTTATATGCAGTTTATAAGAAGCATTACGTCTACTTTATCAATTACAAGTCTACAGGCAGTCTATCCTGTGAAGATTCACACAGCACAACATTTATGTCCTTGTAGTAAACACTGTAAATTGAAATATAGTTGGCAGTAAATTCCAGTGAAGCAAACAAGATGAGCAGAATCATGAGACAAGTGGCCCATTTAGTTGAGGAATGGAAAGGTCATTAACACATCAGGGTGTTAGATAGAAAATAAACTGTTCGTAACTGACACCAACAGACAGTACCAGACAGTTGTAAACAAAAGAATGTGAACTCTATTTAGTTGTCTGTGTGCAAAGCTCTTTATTTCTTTATCTTGTTAATATTTTAAGTCAAGTTTACCACACAGACAACTGTTGAAATATGTTCACCAACTACTTTATTACATTGAATCTACCCTCAAGCCATGACAGACAGTTAATCATACATCATTGTTATTTTCCATGTTTCAGATAGATACAATACAATACTATCTTTTGGAGCCATGAGTTTGGACTTCTCTGGGCCATGTTAGAAATATGATCCCCTTTGCAAAGACTTCGATCACATGGACCACTCCCCACCCCCCAGGACCTTTCACAAGTTAAGTGACTCTGCAGACATCATGCTGCTGGTGGAATCCACCTGGTGAACTTTGTCTGTTCAGATATCTATTGGCTCAAATTTAAGATTGTTAATGCAGTTCATTAATCCTCCACCGAACATAAGACTGAATAGATTTTAATGAAGCTGGTGTCAAATAGGGCTTCACTATATTCCCTGACCTGTCCTTTTATAAAGTCAACTGACTGATGATACAAAGCCTAATATCCTTATAATACCCTTAAGAAGCATTTTTAAACATAAACCTGCCTCATGACATTAGCATTTATGCTATATTTGCTATTTAAAAACATTGGTCACCTTTGTTTCTACCCTGTAACTTGAATAATAAGATAATAATATTATTTTATCTGGAAAATATAGATTTGAATTAGCAAATACATTTTTCGGTAGATAGAAAATGTTATAGCAATACCAAACAATATTGGGATTTGACCCTGTGTTTTGTTAACAAGTGGACATGTTTGTAAAATGTCTGTTCATTGAAAAATGATTTCAGTGCATAAAAAGAACATCATTCAAAATGTTCTGCTTTTTTGAAGCGCCATACAGCCTAAAGATGTACTTTGCCCTCCCTTTCTGGCCTTACCCCAATAAATGATCTCAGAGTACCTCTTTGAATATATCTCACTGACATCATGCTAGCATCAAATGGATAGAAACCCTATACTGTAAGCCACCACACCCTGACTCACTCCTTTACTAACTGCACAAACCATAACAGGTTGCAACTGCATGCATTCACTCAAATTCTAAACATGTTATCACATAAAAACCCTGAAGCGCCAAAAATGGATCTTAACTTACCCTTTACGGAGAGATGTACGGCACTGAGGGTTTGGCCCGCAGTATTTGAAGCAGCACAAACATAAACTCCATTATCCTTCTGCTTACAATACAGAACTTTAAGTGTAAAGTATCCCTCTCTGTCCTCGTATAACAAATACCTCCTTCCAGAGAGTATCAGTCTGCCATCTTTCCTCCAAATGATCTCCGGTTTGGGTTTCCCAGTCACAAAGCAGCGAATTTTGCATGTTTGCCCTCTGTCACTGCAAACATTTTCACTTTAGTTGACTTGGTCATGGTGTCATCTTTGAGCCGATTTGGAACTTGCCTCCCACTTCTTTGTTTTCCCTGGTGGGTTTTCCAGGGGCCATTTGTGTAGCCATTGCGATTACCTTCTTCCTCGTGTCCTGGGCCTGCATCAACGAGCAATACAGCTCCAGCTAACGCTTCCCCACACTCATTCCTTGCTTTGCACGTATATACACCACCATCAGGTGCACGAGTCTTAAAGATCTTGAGCTGGAACCATCCACCGTCCTGGTAGCCAACACTAAAATGTGTGCTTTCAAATATTTCATTGAGTTTTCTGCCATCTTTTTCCCAGACAACCTCGGGTCTTGGGTTTCCCCAGAGTTTACAAGAGAAGACGGCATCCTCCCCACGACCAGCACGTGTAGAGAGAGGCTTGATGAGGAATCGTGGCTTATTTTCCTCTCTCAACTCCATCTCTTGTGCCTCACCTTCGACCTTGAGTGTGGCCGCCGCGTATGTTTCCCCAATGCTGTTCTTTGCTTTGCAAATGTACTGGCCACTATCCTCAGTGTTGACGCTGAAATAATAAGATTGTAAACATTTCCGTCCTCGAAGACCCTGTATCGTCCTTGTGGGTCAATCTTTTCATTGTTTCGCTCCCAGATAACTGCAGGCCTGGGATCCCCACCAATTTGGCACTTTAGGACTGCATCAGTTCCGCTTTGTACCACCACAGGTCTTGGATAGGCCAAGAAACGCGGTGCACCTCCAAACACATCCATCGCTGCTTCCTTGTCAGCCTCTTCTTATGCTAAGCTGTCCAGGAGTGTAATCAGTGGGAGTTATTCACGCGGGCATGACAGTCCAACCTCTGCAGGAAAAATGTCTATAATCAAAAAAGAAAGGAAAAAGAAAAGGAACCTATGGATAATTTTAATATAGAACAGCAGTGCTTCTGATCATATCATATTTGCATTTTATCATATGAACTGACTGTATATGTTACACAATCATATGAAAAGCCTTCCATAAATAAAGTAATGAACCCAAATCATTTGGAATGAAATAAAGCTTCTGTCATTCAAACACTCAGCCTTTACGTGCATGTGTGGCAGCACGAACGGATGGTATGATTATTAGGTCTAATTGAATTAGATCTGTCTGCATGAGAGAAAAACACATGCGAGCAGTGTGAGGGGAACATCCTATGTCCTATTGCAATAGCAGCCACAACACATAGCCGCTACAGCTGGTGCTGTATTTCAATGGGAAAGTGCTTAATATAGTACACCCTAAATAAAGACTTGCGAGGGAGTGTGTGTCAGGTATCACAAAGAAGGCTTTTAAAACCCGCGTGCTCACACAAACACAGGCTAATATCACAGTCTGCCCACCCAGGAGACCTTGTAGTCAAAATACGCTGAGCTTCCATCACACTCTTTGTTGGCAAGTCTGTCAGGGAGTTCCTTTTCTAAATTTGATGGTTGAAATAGTTTGCCATGTTCATAAATAGGAGTTCTAGACATTGTTTGCTTTACACTTTATTTACTCTCTTGCTTTAGATTATAATCCCCTTTTTTACCATTTATCTAATCTTGTCTTTCATAAAAACGTTTCCTTGAGTAGATATCAAACATAAATTTATCAAATAAGATATTATATTTGCATATCGGTAAGTTTAGTTTACGTTGTAGCTTAGTCCTATTGATTAAGAAAGATCTAAGTAAGAGAAAATGTTGTCAGGATGGTTGTAATGAAACCATTTTGTTTCCATAAACATTATATTTGATTACAGTATCTTTATGATAACGCTCACATTGAAATGATGACATTATTCAAATACCAACACACACAAACATCAAAGTCTTACACTTCAAACTGACCAACTGAATGTTTGAATACCACTGAATACACAATTTGACATACATTTGATAGAATTGTATGTTTACATTTATAATTTGCTTGAAATAACTTTTTTCACATTTCAGAATGTTTCATTTCCATAGTTTGGACAATGTCTTCAATATTCCCTCTGGAGGTTTAAAGAGAAGAGATTAACCCCGTGTTTACTTGTCTCATTTAATTGGAATGACCTCTGCCCCTTGTGAAGCTCTGCTGTGTACCCCTCACATGACCTACCTCGCATCAGTCGCAGGGAACGACCGTCAACATACATTCTGCACTTGCGATCTCTCTTCGAGGTAAGAAGCAATGCCTCCCGTTTCCAGAAGGCTCAGCTATGTCCCAAGTTGACTTCAGATTCAGACACATGCTCTCCTCAAAGATCCCAACATTTAATCCATTACATCTTTGAAGAACAGAATTCAGAAGTATCCACAGCAGCTTCTCGTCTAAAACTTCAGAGTGGTTCCCCAATCTCTGTGTCGTTCAGGCCTTAGACACCCCAAGTGTCATTGTTCATGGAATACCGTTAAATGCTTTTGCAGCTGCTGCTGTCCCCTAAAAATACTGGCTGCCTCGATGACAGCAGTGAAGATAAGTCGGGCACTTCCATTCACTTGCCAGCAGGGGCTAAAGATAGTTCAGGTGGCCACTGCAGGGTAGACTGCTTAGCTTACTTGAGACTTTGCAATAAAAATGTGAGCAGAAGAGCAAGCTTCTGGTCTCAAAACATTTTAAGGCACACTTTGGTGTCATCTACAACAAACCTTATTTAAAAGTTGCAAATATTAATATAATAAAACAAATATTATACAACTAAGACCAAATGGTCAACAAATTATAAAAAAAACAACAACCAAGTCTCGGATAATTACAAGGGACAGCGGAGGGGGCAATGTTTGGTTACTTCCCTGAATGTAATACAATGTAGGCCTAGACCTACAATGTAGGCCCTTCAATCATGTAATTCAAACAGATTAAAATGATCTCGTCATAAATGTGCTCATTTACGTGAGCAGAATCTTCAAAAAGCTAAAATTAGAGAAATTAGTTTAGTATGGAAAAAAACAAACAAAAACAATACTGTTAGCAATGACAACGATGGACTCCTCTCCCAAACCTTCTTTCTTTTGAAAACCATACCAGCACCAGTCGTGAGGAGGCGGTTGTGTTATCAATGAGTTTGAAGGACCGATCTAAGCATTCTTTTTGGGAGATCTTTAATTGCTTAATCTTGCTGTTTCTTCTGAAGTTGCCCAGCACAGCTTTAACAAAATGCTACATGACAATTTGTTTCCCATATAATATTTTTGAAACTGGCCCACCAGTAAAAAGCATATATTTTATACTTGTTTTTTTTAGCCCTTAAATACAACTGTGCTGGGAAAACCTCTTCTTACATAGCTACCATTACCATTAGCTTGTTTTAATCATGTTTTAGAGTGACCGCTAACTGACCACTAAATTCATGCAGAAAGAGCATTGATATATTATTTATAAAGACCCAACATTAATACACCATGTACCAAAGCACCTGAAGAATGAATTGCATATACTGTAAGATTATATTTCTAGGGTTTGCTAAATCACTTTTGACTTTTTTAATCTGCTCCATTAATTAATCTGGAACACTGAAATAGCTGAGCTTCATGCCCCTGCAGAGGGTGCCTTTCATAATTCTGCTTTGCTGGAACCAACCCATGGGTAGTCATGTGGTAGAGGTGTTGCAAATCCAACAGCCTTATCCAACACAACATGCTCAAAGGAGGTGTGTGTAGATATGTTGTTGTCAATGCTTTGAGCACTATTTTGATAGTACCAATGTGTGTCTTCAAGTTGATGTTTAGTAGTTGGGTAAATAATGTGATCTGAAAGCAGTATGTTCTGACTTGCAGTGTTGTGCTTATTTAATTATCTCACCTTTAATATCCATCACATTATCCGCTTGCCAGGTTTCTTTTTAGCTTTGTCAACTTGGACAACAGCGCATTGATTCTTTAACTTTACATAACGTTTATTTATACTGGAGAAGTGAAAGCATTTCGATACTGTGCAAATACTTATGGAGCCCTATTGACTGCTGCAGTAAAGACCGTCATGGCTTGGCAAGTTCAATGGAGCATGTGCTTCACTTTACAGGCGATTTAACTGCATTTCAAATACCTGTGCAAGTACATTTGCTTCAGTTCAAGACATGTTTTTGGCATCTGTGTTGCCAAGTGTCACTTTGAAATAATGAAAGAATAGCTAAAACCATTTACATGAAGAAAAGTAGCTCCACACTATCAAAAACACTGGATTTGATATGATGACAACAATAACTGCAGAATCAGAGGTCATAGTTTACAGCACCCTGTCTGCATTATATTAAGTTGTTTATGTATACAGATAGGTTAGCAGTTGCCACTTATTAAGGTGAAGCCAATATTAATTATTACTGTTGGGTAGATAATCTTTTATACATGATTTAAAGTTTAGATTGTCTGCATTATATTAAGTTGTTTGATTATTTAAATGTATATACAGTATAGGTTAGCAGTTGCCACTTATGACATTGCTTGTTGATGTTTTATACTTGATTTAAAGTTTAGATTTGTGAATAGCCTCTGCATATATTGGAGTAGAAGTATACTGTTCTTTAAATGTGCCCTTAACAAAGGATGCTAATGAAATAACTTGCAAGTCAGTCGCAAGCCAAGTAAGTCATTTAACAAAAAATTGCAAAAATAAGATGGGTTAAAATCTGAAACAAAATACAGCTGCTGTGGAAATAGAGAATGGATGTTTTAAACTTAGAAAAAAGTGTAAATGGAAGATTATTTTTTTTGTTTTCTCTCTTTTGAAAGTTAGAACTTGCGCTATGCTAGTTTGAAACTCTTTCTGATGTTAGATACCATATGTCAGCCCTCCTTAAGTTGGTTTGCCTTTTCAATACCAGCTCTCAAGTTAACACACCCCTAAGTTATAATTCAACCACATGTACGGGTCATGTGTATACCTACAACTTCCAAATTGGTTTATACTACCATCAAGTTTGGTATTATTTACATTTAAAGGAGTCCATGAGCAGCATTTGCTCAAGCATTTGCACGGCAGCACGTGGGTCTGGGTTTGTCAGTGTGTGAGTCTGTTGTGTGACCTGCTCCAAGCATTGGCTGCAGTGTCCTTTCAGCTGTTTAGTGGCTCCACAGCCCAACACTCCCTCCTCCCTGATTTCAGCTGTTGGAAGTAATCTGATATATAACTCAGACCTCTGTAGCTGGTTATGAAACTCTTTGTGCAAACTTACAGAGTTGTTATGTTATCAGAAGTAGAGCTGAAAACAAAATGAAAGTATCTATGGGGTTGTGGTTTCTAAATATGGCTACTAAGGCTAAGGCTACTATGTTTATCGCATCAAGGAGTATTCCCGAGGTATTCATGGCTTATTGATACTTTATTAATTTGCCCTAAAGTCACATTTCATTCTACGTTTCACTTCTAATTCAAACCTGTTTCTAAAGAAAAGAAGTGCATATTTTACAGTAGCAATATGTTGATAGATTAGTGTTTGTCGTCGGAACATTTCTGACATTCTCTGTCAACCATCAGTCAGATTGGTGTCGCTGATAAACAGAGAAACAACTATGATGGAAAACAAACCGGAGTCAGGCTGTCACCCTGTATCACAGGACCAGTAAATCAGTGGACCAGAAAAGGGTGTGAAGCTTTTAAATCTGAGCTGTGTTGACAGAATCTGCAAAACAAGCACTTGGTTACTAAAACTGTATCATCAACAGCGACTCTGTCAAGAAGATACAAGTTAGTTCGATTCAGCCAGCAGAATCTGGACAATAGGTTATTCTGAACTATTTTTCTGTTAACACTTTAGTGAGTAAAA